CTAAAGAAAGAAGAACAAAGCATAATAAAAATGAGAGCAGAAATTGATGATATACAATAGAGTGAATTAACAAAACCAAAGACTGTTTCCTTAGAAAGAAAAAAAACCTGATAATCCTCTGGCCAAGCTTGGGAAAAAAGAAGGAAGGTACAAATCACCAACCTCAGAAACGAAAGAGCGATCATCACTGCTGGTGCCATAGACCAAAAGGATAATAAAGAAGATATAAGCAACTCTATGCCCCGAAATCTGACAATTTAGATGAAATGAATTAACTTCTTGAAGAACACAAACCACCACAACTCATGTGCAGAGAAATAAATGACATGAAGAGCCCCTCTCTATTAAAGAAATTGAATCAGCAAGTAATAGCTTTGCAAAAAAAGAAATCACATGGCCCAGATGTTTCACTGGTGAATTTACCAACCGATAGGTAAATAGGGGAGATATTTTACCAATAGCTATCAAAACTTAAAAAATGTATAGGGGCGCCTGGGTGGCCCAGTCACTCGAAAGTCTAACTTCAGCTCAGGTCATGATCTCACAGTTTGTGGGTTCAAGCCCCATATGAGGCTCTGTGCTGACAGCTCAGAGCTTAGAGTCTGCTTCAGATTCTGTGTCTCCCTCTCTCTCTGCCCCTCCCCTGCTCACACTCTGTCTCTCTCGCTCTCTCTCTCAAAAATAAATAAACATTCTTAAAAACCTTAAAATGTATATATCCTTTGACCCAGGAATTTTTCTTTAGATATACTTGCACATGTGGGAAAGGATATGTGTAGGGAGTTATTCATTATAGCGTTGTTCTCATTATCAAAGGGCTGAAAAAGTGTAAACGGCTATTGATTGGCCACTTTGTAAGTGTGGCACATCCACGCATGGGAATCTACACAGCTGTGGGGCATATGAGGATGTTCCTGGTATATCAACACGGAATGAATTCTAAGATATATTGGCACATAAAAGAAAACCCTGTATAGAAACCATGAGTATGCTATGATTTGTACAGTAGGTGTGGGGAGAAGAGTATACACAGGTACAAGAAGAAATCTGGAAAAATATATCTGAAAACAATGTAACAATATACATTTCTGAGAAAGGGAAGAAGGTAGCTGAGAAGAAGGGGTTAGAAGGAAACTCTTCACTACATATCCTTCCATACATTTTGGATTTTTGAAGTGTATACGTTACTCCAAAAAAAAGTATGAAAATTTTTAAAAGATAACTGTTCTCCTGTGGTCCCCTCCCAGAGATTCTGATTTGGGGCCAAGGAAGCTGCATTGATACAGGAGAAGCAAAGAGCACACTGTGGGGAACTCAGATCCACATCACAGGTCCACATATCCAAGTACTCCAATAGAGGCATCACCAGGAAGCGACAGTAAAGACAACCAAAGGGGACGTCCAGCTCACTGAAGAGTGGGAAAAATTATAACACTGCTCTGAACAGGATACGATGGAAGGGGGATTTCCCAAAATAAAGGACAAGCCAGTCCATGTAAATGTAATTGGGAACTAGATCCTTTTTGCCATTCTAGCTGCGATTTTAATAGAGATTCTGTCATCAAAAAGAAATCGCTGGCATTGCAATTGAGTTATGGGGGTGTCAGTAAAGTTCCTCTCTTTTGATTCCTCTTTTTCCCCAAAACTGCTGATTATGATCAACTCTTAAGTTTCGAACCAGCACATTTTTTGCAACTTTTTCCTTCACCCTCCTAAAACAGTGTACTTGGTATAGGACGGAACATGAGACACACACACACACACACACACACACACACACACACACACACGTCTCTCCAATAGCTGTGTTCATGTTGCAACTTTCCTCCTAGAGTCCTGCCCCTCCCCCCCTCCCTCCCTTTCCAACCCCCTCCCATCTTCATTTATTCAACAAATATATATTGAGAACTTATGTTTCTGACACTGGTTCCTGGAGACGGAGTCCCAATCAAGGTTCCTTCTCCCATGATATGTACATACCAGAGGAAAGAGCTAGAAAAAAGAACGAAAAGCATAGAAATCAAGAAATATTTTCAGACAATGATAAGCACTCTGGGGAAGAGGAAACACTTGCGGTTGGTAGTCAGAGGAAGTTTCTCTCAAGGTTATCTGAGAATTTAATGATGAGAAGTGCCAATCAGGTGAATTTCTGGGGCAAGAACATTCCAAGCAGAGGAACAGTGAGTGCAAAGGCCCTGATTCTTGAGGAATACAAAGAAGGCAGTATGGCTGGGGCAGAGTCAAGTCGGGTGAGGGCGCTAGCACGAGGCGAAAGAGCAGGCTATGCGGGTGGGTGCGCACACCTACCACAATTTATCTCCACACCTTTGACAGTAGGCTGCATATATCATGCCATCTGCCACCTTAATACTGCCACATCTCGGTGTGTGTTTCCTAAAAACCAGGATATTTGACTGCACAACCACAATACAGTTATTAATTTCAGAAACTTTAAGGTTGGTATGTTTATCTAATCTACAGCTCTCATTCCAATTTATTTTTTTTAAGCTTTTTTTTAATGTTTTATTTATTTCTAGGAGAGAGAGAGAGAGACAGCGTGAGCAGGGGAGGGTCAGAGAGAGAGGGAGTCACAGACTGAAACAGGCTCCAGGCTCCGAGCTGGCAGTCAGCACAGAGCCCGACGCGGGGCTCGAACCCACGAACCGTGAGATCATGACCTGAGCGAAAGTCGGACGCTTAACCGGCTAAGCCACCCAGGCGCCCTGCCCTCATTGCAATTTAAACAATTCTTCTACTAATGTTCTTTGTAACATTTCTCAGTAGAGATTTCTTTATAGTATTTCTTAGTACAGAGTCTGGTCCACAGTCACAGACAGCATTTACCTGTCATGTGCTCCTAGTTTCCTTTAAACTGGACCAACTTCTTAGACTCTTCTTGTCTTTTAAGATATTGGCATTTTAAAAGAATACAGGACAGTAATTTTTCTCTTTTTTTTAAGTTTTTGTCTTTTTTTTCTTTTGAGAGAGAGCAAGCACAAGTGCATGCGAGTAGGGAAAGGGCCAGAGAGAGAGGGAGACAGAGAAGCCTAATCAGGCTCCGTGCGGTCAGGGCAGAGCCTGATGTGAGGCTTGACCTCATGATCTGTGAGGTCATGAGCTGCGCCAAGGTCAAGAGTCAGTCACTCAACTGACTGAGGCACCCAGGTGCACCCCAGTCCAGTAATTTAGAGAATTTTCTTTTATTTGGGTTTTTCTGATTTCTTTACCATTTGATTCAGGTATGCCACATGTGCCCATGGGCAATTTCCTATCCTCAGAATATTAGTCCAGGGGCACGTCATGTCTCGTCGGCGATGCTAATTTTGATCATTTGGGGAAGGGATCGTCCAGGTTCTCCACTGTGCTGTTACTTGGTGGGGGGGACACGCATTAATTTATACCCAACAAAAAATTGTCATTCCTGGGTTCAATTTTATGGAGCAGTTAGAAAAAGAATTTAACCTTTAGTGTGTTTCTATCAGGATCCAAAGAAGGACCATACAATGCGCTTGCTTGGTATGTCTCTTAAGCCTCTGTCAGCCTCTGGCAAGGGATCATAAACTCTTCCCAATTCATACAAGCAAGGAATTCCATGATGGAGGAGAGGCATGAAGGGCACACACTGCTGGGTCATTATTCTAGTTCTGGCACCCGGCACAGACAGCTCAGGAATGTTTGATCAAGTGCTGGATCCTCACTTCCTTGACTTGCACACACATGGTCGCATTTCTGCTGCAGGTAGGGGCTGTGTGAGGCTTCTCCAGACTCGAAAATCTCAATGCCGGGCAAGGAGAAGAGCTGGGCCAGGGCTCAAGGACATTAGCATGACCAAAGTCCCAGCAAGGCCTGGGCTGAGACCTTTCAAGGCATGGAAGTATCCAAGCACCACCCATGTGCTCCTTGCTCTGACAGCCGGTGTGGCGAAGAGCTTAACTCCCGGCTGAGGCTGGGCCACAAAATATTTAGATACCATTATTGGCCAGGGTAGAAACTGGAAAAACGCACTTCAGACACTGCAGACTTGTTGGGAGGGCTGTGTACGTGTGTGCGTGTTACAGGAAAGCCTTGCCTTCCCCTTACTGCAGGCTACAGTGTTTGTGGAAACTGCTCAGAGAGCCACGTAGTTTACTGAATGTGAAGCAGAGTCCGGGGTGGGAAATGGCAACATTTGGGAATCTGTGGTTCCCGGGGAGTAAAGGACTCTGACCATTGGGAAAGGGGTGGTCGGGGTGTGAGCAGAGGTCAGCTGTGCAGACCGCCTCCTCTAGGGGGAAAAATGTCCATTTTTAAGTATGAACTTAGACTGTGCTATAGTGAAAACCTAATGGTTGTTGGGTGGGGGGACATATACTTGTTCTTATTTAGGCAATTACAACCAAGAGGGGAGCATGTTTGCCAAGAGGCAGAGGGCTGCAGGACAGACTAACAGACTAACAGACTCACAGACTCACTCCTGAGCAAGAGCCATAAAGCCAGTACCTGCTGCTGTCCTACACACTGTATTTTTAATGTTCTTCGTCCTTTCAGTTGCTTGGGCCAAACACCTTGGAGTCATCCTCAATGCCTGGCACCCCATTTCACCTACTGGCAGAATCCTATCCGCCGTACCTTCAAATTCACCCAGAACTCAACCACATCTCACCACCCCTGACGCCCCCACCCTCGTCTGAGCCATCAACACCTCTTGCTTGCATTAATCACCTCAAGGACCTGCTAGCTGGCCTCCCTGTTTCCGCCCCTGCACCCACCTCCAGTGGCTTCCCATCTTCCTCAGAATGAACTAAGTCCTTATGATGCTATAAGGTTCTACATGATCTGCCCTGCATCCCATCCATATTAGGCAGGGTTCTTATACGAATTTATACAAACTTATTTATTTAAATATGTCCCATTGTTTTTTTAAAATTTATATGTATATAGTTATATTAGTACTTATATATAATCTTCTATATAACTTTATATATTGGATATATACAGGTTTATTATAAAGAATTGGCTCACGTGGTTATGGAGGCTGAGAAGGCCCGCGTTCTGCTGTCTGCAAATTGGAGACCTATGAGAGCCAATGGCATAAGTTCAGTCTGAGTGGCAAAGACCAGTGTTCCAGCTCAAAACCAGGCGAGATCTCGAATTTTCCATTACCCCCCCTTCTGTTCCATTTGGGTCTCTACCAGATTGGATGAGGCCTACGTTTAGGCAAATATCTGGGTATCTCGCGACCCAGTCAGGTTAACACATGACCCAGGTTAACACGTGAAATTAACCATTGCACCATCTCAAGTCATTTTTCTTCTTTCTTAGTGGAAAGTTCATTATAGAGCACTTACTGTATGCTAGAGCACTGTTCTAAGGGTTTTACAATCATTTATCCTTATAACAAGCCTATGAGGTGGGTATTATCATTATCCTCATTTTACAGATGAGAACCTTGAGGCACAGAAAGGACAAATAACTTGCCCGAGGTCACCTAACTTGGATGCAGGGGGAACTGGGTCTTGTACTGGGGAAGCCTGGCTCTAGAGCCCAGGTCTATAGCCACTCTTGCTGCTGCTACCTTCTTCCTTTCCCAGGCATCCAGTCACACTAGCTTCCTCATTTGCCTCAACACACCAGGCATTTTCCTACCTCAGGACCTTTGCACATGTTCTCACTGGCCTGAAAACTGCTCCCCTCGCTATCTCCTCATTTATACCCTCATTTCTTTGGGTTTCTGTTCAAATGTCACCACCCTATCTAAACTGGCACACACAGTGGGGTACCTGGGTGGCTCAGTCAGTTAAGTGTCTGACTTCGGCCTAGGTCATGATCTCGCAGTTCATGGGTTTGAGCCTTGCATCGGGCTCTGTGACCATAGCTCAGTGCCTGGAGCCTGCTTTGGATTCCATGTCTCCCTCCGTTTCTGGCCCTCCCTCACTCACACTCTGCCTCTCTCTCTCTCAAAAAAATAAATAAAACATTAAATTTTTTTAAATAAATAAATTGGCACACACGGACACACCTCTGCCTCACCACACACCACCTGCCCTACTCTGTATTTATTGGTGCATTTATTTACTACCTGTCTCCCACATTAAAATGTAAACTCCAAAAAAGCTTGCTTTTTTGTCTGTTCTGCTCACTGCCCCAGTACAGAGCCTACCTAAACATGAAGAGGTGTTGAAAATAAAGGGAAATGACCTTTTGTTTTTGTAATTTGGAAGCAAAATTCCAAGGAAGTGATTCCCTGGGGTATAAATACCTGAGGTACTGATTTTTTGATACGTTCTAAGAGGAGGCAGAGGAAAAGTCATCACTACCACGGGCAGAGAGTGCGTCTTCCATGAGTTTGGAACATGTGAACACTCAAAAAGGACAGGTAGGGTATCCTTGATGAGAAAGGCTGACCCCAGGAGGCATTCTTTGTGCAAACAGGGGAAGGAGGGAAGGAGGGGGAAGTCCCTCCTCTGAGCCTCACTCTCTTGGACCTCACTCAGAAGCCTCTTGGTTGCACCAGATGGCCCTCTCTGCTAACGTGAGTCAGGAACACCAATTATTTAGCCCCTGTATGTAAAATTCTTTGTGGAATAGATCCCTGCTACCTGGACCAGACACTCTAGCCTTAGTATCGCATACAACTGTGTGTTCTCATGCCATTTAAAGTGTCCTTCCTCACTAACACTAGAACTCCCCTAGGACCCAGCAATAGCACTGCTAGGAATTTACCCAAGGAATACAGAAATGCTGAGGCATAGGAGCACATGTACCCCAATGTTCATAGCAGCACTCTCCACTATAGCTAAATCATGGAAAGAGCCTAAGTGTCCATCAACTGATGAATGGATCAAGAAGATGTGGTTTATCTATACCATGGAATACTTCATGGCAATGAGAAACTATGAAATCTGGCCATGGGTAGCAACATGGATGGACCTTGAGGGTGTTATGCTGAGCGAAATAAGTCAGGCAGAGAAGGACAAATATCATATGTTTGCACGTATAGGAGGATTAGGAGGAACTTAACGGAGGAACAAGGGGGAGAAGAAGGGGGGAAATGGTGGGGGAAGGGAGAGAGGCAAACCATGAGAGACTCTTGAATGCTGACAAAAACTGAGAACTGATGGATGTAGGGGGAGGGGGGATGGGCATGGAGGGGGGGACTTGTGGGGATGATCACTGGGTGTTATGTGGAAACTAATTTGACAATAAACTATTTGTAAAAAAAAAAAAAATTAAAAAAAAAATAAAGTGTCCTTCCTCAAAATCTTCCTCTCTCCTCAGCAGCTGAATTCTCTCTCTTACCACGCTCACGTCACCAGCCTCTCTTCCCACAGCTCTTGGTCTCGCTCTCTTTTCCCTATAAATGGTAGGTGGGCAATTCAACAGGCATACAACTTTGCTTGCTAGAGCTCTGCTTTGCTCTGCCTCGCACATAAACACGACCACCTGCGTGATCTCGCCTTCGGCCTAGGTAAACCCTGCTTCCGACTGTTCCTCCCATCAAGCTCCGTATTTTGAGTGGGTTCTTCTGCTGTAGATATCAGCCCCCACATCCACCTCCGATCTCTTGAACTCGTCTCTCTTCCTAGGTATCATTTCCAGGGAAACAAAAGCAGCTGTAGCCATTGCTGTGATTCGTTGTGAAGTCTCCCCCTGCCTTCTTCCCCGCCCTCTTCAGCACTTGGTGATTTGGAAGTTGGGGGTCACACTTCCTGCTATGGTGCTCTACCTAGATACTTACAGAAGCATTCAGAGCAGCACGGCTCTGGCCCCACAGTACCTGCGTTTAAACCCTATCCTTTTCATTACTAGCTGCCTGCTCTTAGGCAGATTTCCTAGCCTGTTTATGCCCCAAATTCCTCGCCTACGACATTGGGGAAGTACTAGTCCCATCCTTCCAGGGTCAGTGTCAAGGTTAAATGAAATAAACCAAATAGAGCACTTTGGATGCTTCCTGGTTCATACGCAGCCCTCAAGGGGTGCTATTGTTATCCCTCTCCTACCAAATTCTGCTTCATCCTAACATTGCATGCTTAAAGCCACCGCATAAACAATACATATAGTATCTTTGTCTGTAGTACACACACAGTCAACATTATTCCATTTTAATAGCTAATAAATTGCAAAGGGAAGTATCTTAAAACGTATCAAAGTCTGCAGATAAAGGAATACTCCTAATAATCTGTGCTTTAAAATGATGCATCCATACTCTCCAAGCAGCTGGGTTCCATTCTTGGTAGTAGAGCCAACTTAACCCCAGGGGTGGAGACAGTCTAGCCCTTAACAGTCCTTAAGCATCTGAGTAATTTCAATCCTGCCGACAGCACTGTAAGGGGACATTATTACCCCAGAATCTCAGACGTAGGTACTGAAGCCTGCAGGCGATGGGAATTTGCAGAGGAGACACTAATCAAAGTAGCAGGACAGAGCCAAATTAGAATCCAGACCTTTTGCCCCTATGTCTTCTGATTCCCAAATGTTTTTGCTACTTGACCAGGCGAGAAATGGGCCCCATTTCACTGTAACTAAAGTAGACAATTAGATCTAATGTCAAGAATAATTCTGTTAATCATTGGAAAGTCATTGAGCAACCCTTGGATGAGGGCAAAGCTAAAGAAAAATAGATCTTTGCCCTTTAATAGATTAGTCTGTAATAGGGGGGACTTGACCGTGAAAAGGAAAGACTCAGGAACTCTTATAAAGCAACATACAATCTCTTACAAATCGTAAGCTAATGCTATTTCACATTTTAATGTCTCTGGATGATTTCAAATTAGGTAAATGTCATAGCTTACTAGGTAACATTTGTTTTCTTTCTTGGTGGCACATAAAATAGCAGTGCCTCATAATCAGTGTCATCAAGAACATGTAAAATAATTAACCAGTCATTTATTTTATAGCAATCAACAAATATTAGTCAAAAGTAGATCTTTTTTATGCCTAGTTAGTAAAGTTAACATATATTACCACAAAACTGGGAGTCATTAGCAGTACCATGATTGATTTCCACTATCTGGCTCAGGTTCAAGGTCCTCTTGGTCAAGATGCAGGCACAGCAGGAAGTCCTTCCCAACTGGGGCAGAGCAGCCTGCACAAATGAGGCTAACAGTTAGATTAACAACTCCAGGAGACAATTATAACCAGTGAGTTAAACGTGCATTTAAATTACTCATAAATAAACAAAATGGTAGGTGAGTTCAGACAGAAGGACCGCACAGTGTTTCCAGAGGCAACGTTTCTGAACGCTGTGATGTCAGAGAAGTATTCTGGTTATTGACACCGTGCTCACAGATTCAAATCCTGCGTATGCTGCACACTGGTTTTCCACCTTAGGAGAGTCAATTATTCTGAGCATCGAGTTCCTCCTTTGTAAAATGTCTATAGAATACGTATGTGCAGTGGTGTGAGGAGGTGATACTTGTACAATGCTTGTCAGGGGAACAGGCTCAACAAATGGTAATAACCTTGGTTAGAAGGTTTTGAACAGGGGCGCCCGGGTGGCTTAGTCGGTTAAGCGTCCGACTTTCGCTTGGGTCATGATCTCGCGGTTCGTGGGTTCGAGCCCCGCGTCGGGCTCTGTGCTGACTGCCAGCTCGGAGCCTGGAGCCTGTTTCAGCCTGTGACTCCCTCTCTCTCTGACCCTCCCCTGCTCACGCTGTCTCTCTCTCTCCTAGAAATAAATAAAACAAACAAAAAAGAGGTTTTGAACAGAAGGGATGAATGAGCAAAGCCATGCTTTGGGAAATTTACGTGGAATTTGTGATTAGAACTGGTTGGAAAGAAAGCGGTAAGGAGACAACTAGTTAAGATGCTTTTTCAGTCGTCTAGGTGAGAGGTAATAACGGCGTGGAGGGGGAGACAAACTAGGATATCGGTCAGTGGAGAAGCCGCAACCAGGTGAGGGGTCAGGAACTACAGAGACTTTGGCCCTTGCTTACTCAGTCCCTGCAGGGGAGAGAGCCTCAGGAGTGAGGGGCTAAAAAAGCCGGAGAGGAATCCGGAGGCTTCAAAGTTTGGTGTCCAGGTCCCTGAGAGCGGGAGCAGCCGCCGTGAACAGAGTGGAGGGCGGCGGAGGTAGGAAGTCCTCCATTACCGCTGCCTAAACCCCTAGCGCGGGAGAATCCCTTTCCAGGCCGCCCCCGGAACAGTCAGACTCAGTGGAGGAGGAGGAGGCGGGGCCGGCGGGGGCGGGGCCGGCGGGGGCGGGGCCGGCGGGGGCGGGGCGGGGCCGGGGCCGGCGGGGCGGGGCCGGCGGGGCGGGGGCGGGGCCGGCGGGGCGGGGCCGGCGGGGGGCGGGGCCGGCGGGGGCGGGGCCGGGGGGGCGGGGCCCGGGAGCCCAGCCCGCCGCCCGCCGCCCGACTCGCCCTGTCCGCCCCTGCAGCCCGGCGTCCGTAGGTGCGTCCGGAGCGCCGCAGCCTCACCATGCTGGGCATGATCAAGAACTCGCTGTTCGGGAGCGTAGAGACGTGGCCTTGGCAGGTCCTGAGCAAAGGGGGCAAGGTAGGCCCGTAGGGCTGCCGAGGACCTGAAACGGGGCTGCGCCTCGCGCCGCACCCTGATCGGGACGGGGGCGGAGCGGGTTCTGCCGGGCCGGTGGGACGGCGCCGTGCCCCGGAATGTGCGTTTTGGCTCCTGGCAGGCGCACGGTTCCCCAGTGCCCAGCACGGAACCTGGGAAGGAGGAAGTAAGGGAACTCGAGAGCAGCAGGCCAGGGCCGACAGAAAGGGGAGGTTGCTCTGAGGGAGGAGTCCCCCATGGCGATAAAACAGCGCCTTTTGATTGCATTCCTTCGTTTCAACATCCCAAGCATTTTGATGTTTTGCTTCCTGGGAGACCTTCGGTGGCAGAAAGGCCGAAAACGTGCTTGTCCTTAAGAAACTCCCAACTCTCGGAGGACTGAGTATAATGGAACAAGATCTGTGCTCCACAGAGACCGGGGGCAGGAACAAGCCATTCTGCCAGGGGCTGATGGTGGGGCCCACCCTGAGGAGGTGTCTTCAGCTGGGCCTCAGGGAGGTTAGCAGTGCACAGACAGGAAAGAGCAGGTGCAAAGGCCCAGAGCTGTGAAATTGTATGTTGGCCAGTGGAACTCCCAGAATTGGGTCCTAGAATTCAGGCTGGGTGAAGAGGGCGTAACTGCTGTCTCCCCCCAAGTCTACATCAGTGCTAACACAAGCAGGTTGGACTGTCCCCTGAAGACAGAGGCCACCACTAGGTCATAGTCTTCCTGCAGACAAGTACTTTGTGCACTTTGTAGACTCAGCTCCCAGCTCCGCATCTCGTATGTGTTGTGTGGCGGCCAAGTTCTGATACTTAATACAAATGGTCACACAAAAGCCCTCAACTAGACTCTCGTCTGCACTCTTCAAGCAACTATAACCAGAGGCCTGTCCCTTCATCTGTCTCTCGGCTTCCTCAGCAGCACGTAGAGTGACCAAGGTTATCCCAGATCAAGGGTGACATATTCAGATGCTTACAAGCATCCAGGCAGGTAATGGGAATGAGTGGCGCTGGCCTTGTGAAGCACTAAGGCAAGGTGGAGACTGAGGCAAAGCAGAGAGAACTCAGGGCCCCCTCTGCGAAGGTAGTAATGTGGCTTTACAGACATGGAAACCAGGGTTGCTGCCAGATTTTGAAGGAAAACCAGAATCCCAGATTCTTCATGTGAACTCTCCCAAGTTAAAATTAATTTTTTCAACAAGGAACTACTTGTTGAGTGTCTTCTGTGTGCCAGTCACTCTTACAGGCTGCGGAGATAAAGCATTGAAAAAAAATGAGAAAATTCCCTGTCCTCATGCGGCTTATGTCTTAGTGGCTAGAGAACAAATAAACAGGTCAAGCATACCGTTATCAGATGGTGATCAGGGCTATGAAGAAAAACAAGCAGGGGAGGGAGGAAGGACTAGGGGATTCCTCACAGAGTGAGGCTGTGCACATATGTCGGTTTTAACTGCGGACAGCTGCCTACAAATGTTTGTAAGCTGTAGGCCGTTGGATCTGTCTGGGGCTGGATCACGCCCATGTGCCTGCCAGTCTGTGGCCTCAGCCCAGGGAGGTCTAGGGTGCTTGTTTGCCCTAATGCTTAATCCACATGTTACCAACAGGTTCCAGAGAGCTTTCTGTAGTGGAAGCCAGCTCACTTGGTCTCTCTGGGTTAAGAGACCATTGCAAACTCAGGGTCTGCCCACAGATTCCCTTCCTCTCTCACTCCCTGCTATGCTCTCGTTTCTCCGTGTGGAGTGGGGGCGGAACCCAGTTGCCTATTTCCCAGGCTGTGACGTCAGGTGGCTGGCAGTGAGGTTCACCCAGTGGGAGGCACTAGTGGGAGATAAGAGGGTAGGAGGAAGGGGAGAAGGTGTTTCTCCAAACTATCAGGTCTCTGGCACCAAGAGTCTCTCTGTGGCTCCAGCTCTTTCTAGACAGGCCACCATGGTTCTAGCTTCCACCAGGGATCCAGGTGTCTGAGCTCAGGTGACATAATCCTCCCTCTGCCTCCTCTAAGGTGCTCACTCGCCTCTGGGTTGTCCCCCTGCTTTGTGCGGGGACATCTCCGCTCTTCTGTTATCTATGAAATTAACTCCTTGAATCAAGGTGCTTCTTCTGTTCAAAATACTCCAGTAGTTTCTGTTTCCCTTATGGATACAGTGTCACCTTGCACTGATTTGGTGCCTCTAGGGACAAATACAGCTCCCCAGTAAGCATCTTCCCTCAACATCTGATGGGAGTATAGTGCCATATGGGATGTTGCTGGTAGGCTGATGCAAATCATTTAACCTGACCCATCTCAGTTTCTGCAGCTGTAGAATGGATATAGAAATATCCTTCCCATCTGCTCCCAGTGTTACCATAAATATTAAATTTTTAAAAGGCGTGAAAATGCAGGGCGCTCAGTTGGGTAAGTATCTGACTCTTCATTTCAGCTCAGGTCATGATCTTGGTAAGAGTGAGTTCTGCGTAGGGCTCTGCACTGAGCATGGAGCCTCCTTGGGATTCTCTCTCTCTCTCTCTCTCTCTCTCTCTCTGCCCCTTCTCTACTTTGTGCTCTCTCTCCTTCAAAATAGATAAATAAACATTTTTTAAAAAACATGAAAAGGCTTTGTAAGCTAATGCACCCTACAAATGTGGTCACATCATCATGTCAGAACTCAGCTCTGCTCTTATGGGCTGTGTGGTCACAAGCAACTTTCTTAACCTCTCTGAAGCTAAGTATGAGAGGAAATAATAATTTGTATCTTATAAGAGTGTTTGGAAGTTTAAATGAGATAACCAATTATAAGCAGTTCAATAAAGTACCTAGCACTTGGCTAGGTATGGCGTTAATATCCCTTTAGTTGCACAGGTAATTTGGGGTAAGCTACTTGACCTCCTAACCACTCTGAACCCTGAAGTTCCTCAACTGTAATATAAGAATGACCATGTGAATGTGACAATTACTTAACTATTCAAAGGTATTTATAAACCTTTTAAAATGTGTGTGTGTGTGTGTGTGTGTGTGTGTGTGTGTGTGTGTACAAACTCAGGGTGTTATTATTTTGAAAACAGACTCTCCTTGAAATTGTCTCACTTATCCTGGAAAGAGTCTGGGTCAGGAACTGTTGCCTACTTTCCTGGGCAAATTGATGGCAGACAGTGTGCCCTGTGTCCCTCAGGTTCAGGCTCAACAGATGTTCAGGACTGATTGTGATGGGGGAGGTCCAGGCTGCTACAGACCTTATCAGGTGCCTTCCACATTGCTTCGGGAGAGAGGAGGACACACTGTTCTCTGTGTTGGATTGGGTGGGTCTTGTGGATGCTCAGAGCAGGACTGATATTAATAACTGACATCTTTATGGGATTTTTTTCCCCAGTCTGTGCACGTTGGTTAGGACCCGACAGCCTGGGTTTGAATCCTGGCTCAACCACCTGCCCACTGTAACTTGGGCATGTTATTTCACCCCTCGTGCTCCAGTTTCATCTGAAAATGAAGATAAAGACACTGACTCCTTCCTGGGATCATTGGAGGGATTGAATGAATGAATCCATGCAAAATATTTAAAATAATACCCAACACATAGAAAGTACCGAGTTAGGTTGATTATTATTATTTTCTTATAATGAGAAAGCTGGCTTCCAGAATTAACATGTACGCCCATCACATCAGGTGGCAAGGAAAAAAAAAAACTGACCTTGCTGAGGACCTTGCAAATACCATTGCAAGATCCCTGTCGGGGATTTGAACTTGGTCAGGGTTCCCACTGAGTGTTTGAATATTGCTGTTTGTAGACATGGGCTGAATCTTCATCTGATTAGGAGCATGAGCTAGCTGGATCTGGGGCGGAAGTGGGCTGTTACTATGCTCCATGTGACAAAGAAACACACTAAAGACATTAAATTGGAAGAATCAAATGTGTTAACTGTGTTAACCTAGGTACTTTATTTTCCACAGAAATAGAACTCTATTTAAATTCTCCCTGGAGAACTAGAGTGGTTTTGTAATATCCGTCTCTCAAACCTAAATCTTCACAGTGATCCAGTGTTCAAATGAGAGTGTATGGACTCAGATGCTGTGAAAACAGGCAGGAGCTGTCATTGTACCACCTTTGGACATTGTGACCCCACTTTTCTCCAGCATAGATGTAATTAGACTGGTTTCTCATCTGTCTACCCAGCTATGTCTGTTGTATTCCTTGTCATTAGGGTAAGACTAGGCTCTCCTCCACAGCCTCCTTTCCCACACACACTTCTAGTACCTACTCTATGCAAGATGCAGTAGTACATGCTAAGAGATACAGACAGCCCCCGGCCCCGTGGAGCCTACGGTTGCAGATGGAGGTGAAACACATTATTTTTCTGTTACAATTACAATCACTCTTGTCTCCTCAAAGGACTAGGGCCCATACAAAATGCCATGGGAACTTGTATTCAGTTGGGATCCTCTTTGAGGAAGTGACTTTTCGGTGGGGACTTTTTGGATAAGTAGGGGTTCCTCAGGCAGAGACAGGAAAGAGATATTCCAGGGAGAGGAAGAGGCAGGTTGGTTCAGAGGCCCTGAGGCAGGAATGACCATGGGCACTGAAGGAAATAGAAGGCCAGTGAGGAGGTGGTCTGAGTGTGGCTGGAAAGGTGGATAGAAGTTAGGTGATGCCCGACCACCTGGGATAGGTTAAGAACTTGGTGAATGAAGGCTTGTAGGTAAGGGATTCATTAACATGATGAAGTGATACAGAATCCTCTGTATATGCTCCCTGGGCAATCTTTGCTTCAATCACAGCCTTAGCTACCCCTTTTGCTGATAACTCCCAAATTTATATCCCTGTATCAGTCTCTTGGTGAGCTGTAGACCCACGTGTCCAGCTGCACAATCGACAGTTTGCTCATCTATAACAGGAGGCAGATGAACAGATAGATATGAAAGGGCCCTCCTAACCTTAGTGTTATCTGCCTTTGGAGTCATAGGAAGGAGGGATGGCTCGGGAGGAGGAGGTTGAGTTGAGCCTTAAGGGTTGGTAGACTTCTCATGGGAGCCTTCTCTCTCTGAGTCAAACTGGATTCCTTTCTCTGCAACCTCTTCCCTGGCCCTGGACTTTCTGCCTGGGGGACAGGCTGAGAGCACAGATCACCTACCTATACCATCCTCAGAACTCCTTTCTGCTCTGGGTCCCCTCCCACTCGAAATTCCCTATATGGATCACAAAGTCAGTTGAATTAATTTGGGTTAGGGGCAACTGATTTGCATGCTCGGCTCACCATCACTGGGACAGTGGTTACAAAATCCTCCCTCTGCTGGCCTATGAGTTCTTTGTGCGTCCGGCCCCTCTGGCTGTGCCCTGCTTGACCGCCTTTGATCCAGCCCTAGTTGCATGCTTCACCTTCAGCATTTTGTTCTTCTGTACCTCTTTTACACTTGTGGGGCCCACTCCCTGGAATCGCCTTCCCCGAACTATCAGAACATTTACTACATCATACAATAATTTCATAATCTACTCACTGCCCAACTAGACTGCCCGTATCATATTAATCTCCAAATCTGTAGCATCTGGCAGAGATTTTCAATATTTATTCAATGAATCAGTGCATTAGGGACTGAATGTCCAGCTGGATGATGTATAAGCACCTCAAAGTCAGCCTGACCTAACCAAACACATCAACATGCACCCGTGCCCTACAAAATAACCTAAGTAATCTGTGTTCCCACACTACCCTGCCTCTCCTCTTAAACATCAGATTATTACCTGTTTTCCTGGCTACTTGTGTTAGCCCATCCCCTCCTGATGTCTCTCTTCTCTGTATCATAGTGCCTGGCACAGTGCTCAGCACACAGTAGATGCCCCATGGTTGGAGGTTGAATGAATAAAGGAAGGAAGGAAAGAACAAAGGAAAGAGCCAACCAGCTCTTTTCTCCATTGAGAGCTTGTCATTGGTTTCTCCAGTTGTGAGAGATGAGGGTCCATTACATGACTTTGGATGCCCCTATTCTGAGTTTGATGCAGGCATACAAATGTCTATCAGAAGTAACTAACTCGGGGCATCTGGGTGGCTCAGTTGGTTAAGCATCCAATTAGGGCACTTGTTTCTTCTTTCAGTGGAATAGCGTAAAATTCACTTGAGTAGAGTGGAAGTCAACAGGGAGGAAAGAAAAGGCTAGATTCAGAATGTATCCCCTCCCTAAGGGTAAAGTATTATTTTGTGACACTTTGTTTCTTCTTGATAGAACATGCTGTAAAAAAAAAAAAAAAATATATATATATATATATATATGCATGCATTTCTTGTTATGTATCCTGATTCTCTTCAATGTTTGAAAAACAGTCTTAACGGTCTTATAGTGTATGTTGAGGAATACGAAATTATCTGCGATATCACAGGGCAACAAAGAGGGGGAAGGGTTGAAGGAGATCTGTGTGGGTCTCTATGGCAAAGGACCTTAGGGCAGAGACCCACACAGAGAGTGGTCATGCTGGGGGGGGTGTCCCCCCAGGAAGGCTCTGGAGAAGTAGTGGAGCTGGGTATCCAGGGGAGTGGGGGAGGGGTACCATTTAGCGAGACAGGAGCCGAGTCTGGGAGTACAAAGTGGAGAGAACGACTTTGGTCCTTCTTGCCCTGGGGCCCGGCTTCTAGAATGAGGCTTGGAGTCTGTGGGGTTGTTGTTGTATCTCTTTGTTTCCTCCTTTCCAATTGTCTTCCCTTTTCCCTGGCTCTCCTTGTCATTCAGATGTTGGATCTCCTGGCCTGATCCCCTGATGTCCTTTTCTCCTCTGGTTTCTCCTTCTTTGCCTTTTCACTTGACTTTCTGGAAGATTTCTTTCCTCTTTATCTTCTGATCTCCCCCAATGAATTTTTCACTTCTGTTATATTTTTAATTTCGAAGAGCCCTTTGATCTCTGGACATTCTATTTTTATAGCATCCTGGGGGGTGTTCTGAGTGGCTTGGGAGGCAGTCTCTTAACTCCCTGAGACTATTGATTATATGAGGTTTTTTTTTTCCTGCTGACTCTACATTTGTAAGAAATTCCAGAACCTTTTTCTCATGGCCCTTCGTACCCCTACTGTCTGTCTCTTCTACCCTGCCACCATGCCCGGGCTCGTCATGGAAAGTTCTTCAGCAGCTGGGGGCTCGTGTACCTGGACCATTACTGCCCTGGAGTGGCCACACGTTGCCACCTTACCTCTCTGAAGCACGTGCATTCCGCCCCTAGGAAGAAGTCTCCTACGAGGAGAGGACCTGTGAAGGCGGGCAGTTTGCCACGGTGGAAGTGACGGACAAGCCCGTGGATGAGGGTCTGCGCGAAGCCATGCCCAAGGTCATGAAGTATGTAGGGGGCACCAACGACAAGAGTGAGTATTCCTGAGGGATGTGGCTCTAGTCTCGGAGGCAGGGTTGCTACGGCTCATGTCACCCGCGGAAAACACGGGGAGGGGCCACAAGGCACCTGTCACCGCGTGCTTCCGTGGCGTGTGAACTTGTACTGTGTGCATGAGGACGCTCGGTGGGGGGACCATACTGACTTCCTCCCAGCCTCCCCCTCGTGCGGTAGCCCTACTTAGTATCGCTGCCTCCAAGCTTCTCTCCCAGGCCCGAACATGTGCTCGGGGTTTTTAGCCATACGGTGTTTATCATGACTGAGTGAAGGAAGCCAAGTCACAGAGCCAGCCCGACCTCTGACCTGAGAACTTTGCCTGCAGCTGAACCTCCCTGCTCAGTCCCCCGACCTGGCCGCTTAGAACCTTCAGCGTACGGAGGCTCAGTGAGTGCTGAGCACCGCAGGGTCCCAGCTCTGTTCTGGCAAATGAAGGGTCTGAGGCTTTTTAGGCTGTTCCACTCTTGAAGACTTGGCAGTGTGTGAGGGCTGCACCCCTATTTGTAAGATGATGGGCGTGAAGTTTCAGTGTGCCTGTCAGCATGAAAACCATATTTAATATGAATGTAACACTAAAGCTCTCTAATTTAAACTGCTCTTTACGATGAGTGCAAACCCAAAGTGGATCAGAAAGCCAGGTGAAAAAAGAGATATGATGTTTGATTTTTAGGGTATTTCTCAAGTTGATAACTTAGAAAGCTAGAAACTGGTCTTAACCTCAGTAACATTTACTAGGACCAAAATAATCAGGCTTTGAATCGTAAGTCAACCAGGGGGAGGTCAGGAAGAAATCTTTTCCCTCTTAATAGTGTCATAACTCTCATTTAAGAAGAAAATATACCTAAAAATTATAAAACTCGTTAAAGAAAATCTTGAACATAACACAACAGCACCCCAAATAATAGAATCATTATTGTCTTCTGAATGTATTTCTTATGGGCTTTTTAATAAGCTTTTTAAAAATGTTTTCTTTATTTTTGGGAGAGAGAAAGACAGAGCGTGAGCAAGGGAGGGGCACAGAGAGAGGGGGAGACAGAATCCAAAGCAGGATCCAGGCTCTGAGCTGTCAGCACAGAGCCTGATGCGGGGCTTGAACTCACAAGCCATGAGATCATGACCTGAGCTGAAGTAGGACGCTCCACCGACTAAGCCATCCAGGCGTCCTTTAATAGGCTCTTAAAATGTAATCATAGTGTTTGTGCAATTCTATATTCTTCTGCTACTTGTTTCTTAACACTTTTCCACCTTTGCGAAATAATCTTCTTAAGCATAATTATTGATAGCTACTTCATATTGTATCATGCACCTATGATTTACTTAGACACATTGCTGTTTTGAACACTTATGTGGCTCTCAGTCTCTCACAGTTATAAATTCTGCTGCAATGACTATCCTGTCACCTATAGCCTTTTCCATATTTTAGATTATTTCCTTAAAATTTATCTTTAAATTGAGAGTATTTAGATGCTGATCGATTTACAGCCTTGATATATATTAGCAAATAACGTTTTCCAAACGAGTTGAATCACTACACTCCTATTTCCAAAGCATACAAATAAGAGGTGTTTTGTGTGTAACTGACCACATAGTTTTAATACCTATTATTAATTTCAAGAACAAAAAACATCCTGTCCTGGAAGAAGAATGAGACTGGCACATCTTTCACAGTCCTGAGCAAGGTCTGTCTGTTTTTGTGTTGAGCCAGTTCTGCCTATGGTACCCTCACTCCGTGGGTTTTCGTGCTTTCAGGAATCGGGATGGGCATGACAGTGCCTATTTCCTTTGCCGTGTTTCCAAGTGAGGATGGCTCCCTACAGAAGAAATTAAAAGTCTGGTTCCGGATTCCAAACCAGTTTCAGAGCAACCCGCCAGTTCCCACCGATGACAGCGTTAAGATCGAGGAGAGGGAAAGCATCACCGTCTATTCTCTGTAAGGAGAGGATTCTTTTTTTTCTTCTTTTTTTCAGGGTAGCTCTACTTGGTTTTTTGTTTTGTTTTGTTTTTTAAATATATTTATTTAAATTCAGGTTAGTGAACATACAGTGTATGTTCAGTGTAGCATCGGTTTCAGGAGTAGAACTCAGTGATTCATCACTTACCTATGACCCCCCAGTGCTCATCGCAACAGGTGCGTACTCCTTAATGCCCAGCACCCATTTAGCCCATTCCCCCGCCTCCCCACCGACAACCCTCAGTTTATTCTCTGCATTTAAGAGTCTCTTATGGTTTGCCTCTTTCTCTGTTTTTTGGGTTTTTTTTATTTCAAGCTTATTTCTTTTGTGTTCTTTTTTTTCTTTCCTAGTTCATTGTCAAGTTGGTTTCCATATAACACCCAGTGCTCATCCCAACAAGTGTCCTTCTCCATGCCCATCACCCCCCTTCCCCTCTCCCCCACCCCCCCCATTAGCCCTAAGTTCCTCTTCCTCTGTTTTTATCTTATTGTTGTAAGGAGAGGAATCTTTTGACATCCAGGGGTAGCACCTGACATCCATCACCACTCCTTAATCATCTGGAGTAAGCATTTACATTACACTTATATTGTATTCCAGTTTTACTGAGATGTAATTAACATATAACATCGTGGTGACTTAAGGTGTACAATATGTAATGCCGTGATATATGCAAATATTATGAAATGATCACCATAATGTTTAGTTAGCATCCATCACCTGACATAGTTACAATTTCTTTTTCTTGAGATGAGAACTTTTAAGATCTGCTTTCTTAATAACCTTCAAATATTTATCACGGTATATAGTTAACTATAGTCACCTTGCTTTACATTATATCCCAGGACTAATTTATCTTCTAGCTGGACATTTATGCCTTTTGATCACCTTCACCATTTTTCCTACTCTCCGCCCACATCCCCTGTCCTTGGCAACCATCAAGTTCTTCTCTGTGAGTTCAGAGTTTGTTTGGTTTTTAAATTCTACATGTAAGTGAGATCGTATAGTGTTTTCCTTTCTCTGACTTATTTCACTTAGCATAATGCCCTTAAAGTCTATTGTCGCAAAGGGCAGATTGTCCTTTTATTATGGCTGAACAATATTACATTGTGTTTATGTACCACATCTTTGTTTGTTCATCTGTTGATGGACCTCAGGATGTTTCCATATCTTGGCGATTATAAACAATGTTGCGGTGAACGTGGAGGTGCATTTTCAAATTAACGGTTTTATTTTCTTTGGATAATACCCAGAAGTGGAATTGCTGGATCCTATGGTAGTTCTACTTTTAATTTTTTGAGAACCCTCCATACTGTTTTCCCTAGTGGCCACAGCAGTTTGCATTCCCACCAGCAGTGCACAAGGGTTCTCTTTTTTCCATAGCCTTGCTAACACTTGTTATTTCTTGTCTTTTTGATAATAGCCATTCTAATGGGTGTCAAGTGAAATCTCACTGTGGCTTTGATTTGTATTTCACTGATGATGAGTGATACTGAGCACTTTTTCATGTGTCTTTTGGCCTTTTGTATGTCTTCCTCGAAAAAATGTCTATTCACATCCTCTGCCCACTTTTTAAAAATGTTTCTTTATCTTGGAGAGAGAGACAGAGAGAGAGAGAGAGGGAGTGTGTGTGTGTGTGTGTGTGTGTGTGTGTGTGTGTGTGAGCGGGGGAGGGACAGAGAGAAGGGGAGACAGGATCTGAAGCAGGCTCTGCATTGTCAGCAGAGCCCAATACAGGGCTTGAACCCATAAACCATGAGATCATGACCTGAGCCAAAGTCAGACACTTAACCAACGCCCCCTCTGCCCATTTTTTAATCAGATTGTTTGGCCCTTTTGCTATTGATTTATAGGAGTTCTCTATATATTTAGGCTTTTAATTCCTTATATGGAATTAAGATTTGCAAATATTTTCTCCCATTTAGTAGGTTGCTTTTTCATTATGTTGATGGCTACCTTTGTTGTGCAGAAGCTTTCTCATTTGATGTAGTCCCATTTGTTTATTTTTGCTTTTGTTGCCAAATACAAAAAATGGTTGCCAATATTGATGCCAAGGAGCTTAACTCCTTATGTGTTCTTCTAGGAATCTTATGGTTTCAGGTCTTATGTTAAAGTTTTTAATCTATTTTGTACTGATTTCTGTGGGTGGTGTAAGATAGAGAGAGGTCCAAGTTCAGTCTTTTGCCTGTAACTGCCCAGTTTTCCAGACACTGTTTATTGAAGAGACTATTCTTGGCTTCTTTGTTGTGAATTGGTTGATCATATACACCTGGATTTGATTCTCAGCCCTCCATTCTGTTTCATTTCATTTCATTTCATTTCATTTCATTTCATTTCATTTCATTTCATTTCATCTGTATATCTTTTTTTATGCCAATGCCATGCTGTTTTGATTATAATTACTTTGTAATACAGTTTGAAATCAGGAAATATGCTTCAGCTTTATTCTTTTTTTCTAAAGATTGCTTTGGCTATTCAGGGTCTTTTGGGGTTCCATACAATTTTAGGGTTGTTTTTTTAGTTCTGTGAAAAACTCCATTGGAATTTTTATGGAGATTGCATTGAATCTGTAGATTGCTTTTAGTAGTAGGAACATCCTTACAATATTAATTCTTCCAATCCATGAGAATGGAAAATCTATTCATTTATTTGTGTCTTATCCAATTTTCCTCATTAATGTCTTTCAATTTTCAGTGTACAGGTCTCTTACCTCCTTGGTTAAATTTATTCCTAGATATTTTCTCCTATTTGATGGAAATAGGATTGTTTTCTTAATTTCTCTATATTGTCGGTGAATTAAGTTAAGAAATACCGAGTCCTGACAGTTTCTCCCTTCGGTTTCTTCAGCTTACAACACACAAACACTTGCGCTGTATCTGAATAAATGCCTTTACCAGTTGCCAAATTGACTTGGACAGAGAGCATCCCCGCAGCTTAAGCTGAACACCTACATTAGGCACAGCAGGGTTCTAGGAAACTCCGGGAATATCTAAGTCAAGTTGTAGGTTGGGCTCATGAATATGTGAATGAGTACATGAATACATAAAGGACTTGGGGGATCTCCTTTTTAGCCCGCGCTCTCCTTGAATGCCAGAAGGGCAGGCAGTATTTGGCAGAGCTGGACTGCCACCCCTTAGTTGTTCATTGTCTGTGGTCCTTTGAGCAGAGCACGCATGCATCCTATTATCATTCTACTCCTGTTGCCGGGGCCTCAAATGGGGTCGTGTTCCTTTTGACTATAAAGCATGACCGGTGCACACGGTTGCATGTTTTTATTCTTTGAGCCACACCCTCCCTTCAGAAACCAAGTCTCTTATAGATCATCAATGACCCCTGTTTTCAAAATCGTACTTGGTGGCAGGCCTGAACCATGTATAGTCAGAGACCAGGAGCTTCACCAGCATCAACTATAGGTGTGGATTTGCTCCTGCTCTAGAACAACCCAAAATATATATATGTATACATATGTGTGAATATATATATATATTTTTTTTGTATATTGAAAAATATATATATATTTGTATATATATATACAAATAATCTTGCACTGAAGAGTTTTTGTCCACGCCCAGGGGCCTCCAAACACACTTATTTGACTGCCCCACCCCAACTCTGCACCTGAGGATGCGGCTCTCTCTGTTGCCAGCACTAATGCTGGGAAGGTAAGCTTGGCTGCTCTGGGCAGTCCTAGGCCAGGTGACGCAGGGCCCCCCAGAGGACAGTGAGTGTACTGCAGCTGGGCCGCCTACACTGGAAACGAGTTTTTCTCCAGTCATCAGATTTTCCAGCCTTCACTAGAGTCTGCAGAGAAAGCAAACTCCAAGTAAAGAAAGGCTTTCCTGGGGTGCTTGGGTAGCTCAGTCAGTTAAGCGTCTGACTTCAGCTCAGGTCAAGATCTCACGGTCCATGGATTCCGGCCCCAAGCTGGGCTCTGTGCTGACAGCTAGCTCAGAGCCTGGAGCCTCCTTCAGATTCTTTGTCATCTCCTCTCTCTCTCTACTTGCTCTCCCTCTCTCTCATAAATGAACATTAAAAAAAAAAGAACGTCTTTCCCAAGGGCAGGGACTAGAGTGGGGAAGCCAGGTGCCCGTAGCACAGAATTTAAAGAGGCACCCACTTTCACAGTTGTCCAAGAGTAGGGTTGGCACTGAGAGTAAGCGCCTCCTTAAATCTTGTGCCATCTGTCTCCCCTGTCTGACTTTCATACCTGATCCCTCTGTTCCATTCTCTTCCATGGTGTCTCGGGAGGCAGCCTGGTGGACTCCAATGAATAAGTACCATTTTCGTTTGAATCCCAGAAGCTTGGGAAGTCCCTCATGCTCTTTAAGACAGTTTCCCTATCTTCCTAGAATTATTGCCAAAGAGTACCTTCAGTAGCTCCTAAGATGCTTGTCTTTACAAATGACTTCATAACCTGTGGTAAATTTCAGTAATTCTTTTTCCCTTCGCCCTTTTTGATTTTATGAGGAATGGGATTGACATGATTAAACAGTTCACAAATCAGTTCACAGAAGCCTTTAAAGCAGACCGGGCTGGCTTCGAATTGTTTGTTTGACCAGACCCGGGGCGATGAGTTGGTATGATTTTTTTCTTTTAACATTTTAGTATGGAAATTTTCAAACTTACAAAAAAATAGAATAAGATAGTGAAATCCTATGTAACCCATCACTTACCTTCAATGATAATTAACTCAAGGTCAAATCTGTGTCATGAGTAACCTCACAACTACTACCCAGCCCCTCCACTGGGTTATTTTTAGGCGAATTCCAGACCTTATATTATTTCATCCACAAATACTTCAGTGTGACTACGAAAGACCTTTTAAAAACACAATCATAATATCTGAGGACTCCTGAAATTTAAACATCATTTCATTAATGTTATAATGCTATAAAATACATCCGGTGTTCAGATTTCTCACTACCTGATCATTTGTTCTTAAAAGTGTTTGAGCCTGGATCCAAATAAAATCCATCCATTG